GGTTGAAAATCTTATCGAAATTTTGACTAAATTATTGTAAACCGAAAGTGACACATGGCGCGTCGAGATTGGTCGAAAATCTTATCGGAAATCTATCCGCAAAATAGTACGTTCGGATAATGACACGTGGCATGACGTGATTGATTGAAAATCTTATCGAAATCTTGGCTAAATTATTGTAAAACGGAAGTGACACGTGGCGCGTCGGGATTGGTTGAAAATCTTAGCGGAAATCTATTCACAAAATAGTACATTCGGATAATGACACGTGGCGTGACGAGATTGGTTAAAAATCCTATGCGAAATTAAAACTATTTTATTTTTTTATTCTTTTAGAAAAAATTTTAAAATATTTTAAATGGGCTGGGTGCCAGCCCATTTTGTAGGGGTGAAGATCGTTTATGCCAGCGCATTTTTTTAGGGGTGGAGATGCATTGGCCTATTACTATTCATTGGAGTCTATTACTGTTCACTGGAGTGGATAAATGGTGTTAAGGCCAAGATCCTCACGCGCCCACGATGAATGGAGGGGAGGCTTTAGCCGAAGAACCTCCGATGCCAAAGTTAGAATTTGAAAGAAAAGTGTTTAGAGAAATTTGGAGAATTTTGTGAGAGTTGGAATTAGGTTTTTGGGAGAAATTAAAGCTATTTATAGGGGTGTGGCCGGCCCGCCCCTATTTGGAGAAAAGGGGTAAGACCACTTATGGTGGTTTTTGGGTGTAATTGCAAGATATTATGTCAAAATAATATCTTGCAATCAATTAGAAAATTAATTCATTAATTAGGAATTAACCAATTAATTTAGGTAATTAATCATAATTTGAATGAATATTTGAGGGTTACCTTGTGGGGAAGATCTGATGAGGATGGATGAAATAGGTTTTAAATAAATACCTATTTTGATGACTTTTGATCTTAGTTGAGTCGTGATTGTCCGCTGCTTGCGCGTGGGGGTTCCAGTATGTCTCGAGGGTAATTTTATGGGATACTTTGGATGCGACCCCTAATTCTTAACATTTTTTTATTAAAATCTTAATAATATTCAAAGTTTGATCAAGGTCACTTGACTTTGAACACGTCATTATATTACTATTAATATTTATATTTTTATAATTTTGACATTAATTGTTTGATATTTTATGAGATTTATAATCCTATAAATTTAAAATCCCTCATTATAATACTATTAGAAATGGTTACAATAAAAAAATTCAAAAATTTTGATTGAATAAATGGATAAAAACTATGTAAAAATAATAAATAATAAATGGCAAAAGAATGTATTCATAGTGTTAAAAAAATTGGTACATTTCACATATAAGAAAGTGGTACAATAATAAAGAAGAATGGGTACATTAGAAATAAATTAGGGTACAAATAAAAGATTAAAAATTATGAATACAAATGAATTTTTAAAAATATAGGCGCTAAAAGAAATTAATACATGGGTACAAAATATAACTAAAAAGAAAATACTACAAATTAAAAAAAAAAATGTTGCAAATTAAAAGTGGGTACAAACTAAAAATATAAATATATGATACAAAGTTTAGGCATAAAACATAAATATACCATATGTAATTTTTCTATCATTGATTAAATGTCACATGACGGTATACACATGCGTACAGACACAAATAAAACTTTAAAAAATATGGGCAAAAAAAGAAACTAATATATGGGTACAAATTAAAAATAAAAAGAAAATTGGTACAAATTAAAAAATATTTGCAAATTAAAAATAGGTACAGACTAAAAATAAAAATATATGATAAAAAAATTTAGCCATAAATATAAATATACTAATTGTAACATTTTTAACATTAAAGGAATATATTTAAAAATAAAAATATTTTATTATTCAAATAATTAATGATGTTATTAATACACCTTGATCAAAAATTGAAAATAAATAGGATTTTAATCAATAGAGTAAGAAAAAGAAGGATGTGAACCTAATTTTCCCGTAATTTTATCTTATTTACCCAAAAAATCCACTTATCGTCTTCATATTCTTCTTGATTATTTTTTACTCCACAAAAATATCAAAAGTGGACCATTTTAGCTAATTTCCTTTTATTTTTTAGAGAGATATTTTCACACCAATTTTAGCTTCTCACACATTCCTCCTTATTTTCTGTCATCAGATTGGATAAATCAAATGAAAACTACAGCCATGATCGAACATAGGTGTGTGAGAGGTAAGTGAATGTTTATCATTTTCCATTCTCCTTCATCATTACAAGTGGAAGTCTTAGTTTTTTTTTTCTTTCTAAAACTAGTGGAAGTCTTAGTTCTAACTTTTATAAATGTTGAATTCGATGCTAATGTGTTATGGCTAGTTCATTGTGTTAATCCAAATTTCACCCACTTAATGTTAAAGTATCATTTTATTAAATAAAACAAAAACTGCATTCACGTTGCCTTAAAAACTATCACAGACAAAACAAAACAAAATACAAACCAAACACCGTCAACCTATCTATAAAATACAATGTCATCCCAACAAAACAATAATGGAAGTTTTAACGAAACATTCCCGATATTGTTCATTTTTAACGAAAAATCACATTTTTACATTTTCTTGGTACTATTCATTACACCTTTATTTGTCCTTTGTTATTAAAACTAAAGTTTTTTTTTGGTTTACTTTTCATTAGTTTTCCTAACAATAATAAATGGCTAGTCATTGTAGAATGAGGATTCTCTCAGGATCCTCTTTGTGAGGATTCCGGAGATCCTTAAATCACGTTTGTTCACGCGGTCAGAAATCATTGTAAATTTTTTTTATTTGTAATTAAATATAAATAGTACTTAATGAAAACTGACATGATGTACGATAAATAAATGTAATTAGAGGATTACCGAAATCCTCATAAAAAAATATCCTCATTCTCATTGTACTTGTGATGTGGCCCTGTGACTGTGAGGATGCTCATTCTCATTATACACTTGTGATGTGGGCCTCCCATAAAAAATCTTCCCAAAGAAAGCCACGTGGAACGAAACTTTGTCTTGATTTGAAGGTTTGTTACTCGTATTTCCCTTTATATTGTCTTCTTGTCTTCCCATTTTCCTCAACCTCAGTCCCTCAATATTCCCATCACAGACATGCATCTAATTCCATTCCAATCATGTTCTTCCCCACCACTTTTCCTCTACCCTAACTAAAAATCAGATCTTAAAGCCATGGGCCGCATTTGTAATCTAGATTGCTACCCCACCACTCACTGCTCTACCGGCATGCCAAAACATTTGAGCGAAGCATTCTACGACTTGCTTCCTAGTAAGGGTGTTTTACATGGGTAGTTACTTACGCCATGATCCCACCCACACACCTTGCAAAAGCACGTGATGCAATTCCCAGGGTCAAAATCGTGGGTTACCTACATTCGTAACCAAAGTGGCAAAGGTTGCTCTCGTGAATTTTCCTTGTAGCCTTCCCATTTGGTGATTAATCATCCCATCCCCCCATTGACGTGGATGTTTTAATTTCTTAATTGCATGACTCTCAAGTCTTTAACCACGCACACTTCCTCTTTTGACAAATCACCCTTTTTGTACTTTATAGTGGCCACCTCACCACAACCTAAAAACACATTTCTAATTCCTTTTCTTGAAATACATACGATAGTATTAAACTAATAATAAAATTGATCTAAGCCACATAATTAAAGTTTAGTTCAAAATTGTTATCGTAAAAGAATAAAACTTAAAATCTTTTCTTTATGAACGACTAAAAGAATATCGCTAAATTTTAATACTAAAAAAATCACTAAAATATAGTTGTATTAATCTTTACTTGTTTAAAATAAATTGAAATAAGTCAGTACATCATACAATAGACAAGTCATTTCAAAGCCAAATTCTCTCTCAAAATATTGCTTATGAAGAAAAAAAAACGAATTTCAAAAAGGCAAAAAAAATATGATTCAAGTCTTTATCCTTGAATTGCAGTGGTAAACAATATAACTTAAGTTGCGAACCCGACTTACATGGTGTAACAGAAAGAAATAGAACACAAAACCTTGAGGGTGTAAGCTGTAAAAACAGTTAAGCCACTATACAAAAGATGTTATTAATTATGTTAACCATGATCTATTTATTATGAAACGCACTTACAAATAAAGTTTTGTTTTCTATCTGATATGTGAAATTAAATTATTATTTTATTACATTAAACTAAAATGTTTTGAAACAAAAACAAAAATTGATAAAATGAATTTAATACTTAATTAATTTTTTTTAAAGTTGTTGTCAATTTAAAAAAAAAAAAAAAGAATCAAAATTGCCAATTTGAATTAAACATATTGACATCTCATTTGAAAATGTTGTAACTTTATCATTCATTTTTTACGCCCAATATTTCTGATTCTGATTCTATTCCTTCTCTTCCTTCAAAAGGGGTGATGCTAAAATTATTTCCCAATAAAAAGTAACAGAAAAAGCATTAAACTCTTTGGTTTATGCTTATTTTTTTCTTCGATTTGCGTTCAATTCTAAAATTAATTCACAGGATACTTTGCTGGAACGTAAAAAGCACGGAATGCGTACTACGCACTCTGCGTAATCCGTAAGACAACCGCCACCCCAAATCTTTCCATAAACTCTAAAGTACAACACTGTTCAGCATAGCTCAGTCACTTTTTTATTTTTATTTTTTTTAATATATATATTAAGAGGATAACTTGTGGTAATTTATGGTTATTCACCACTTCTGGGTTCAGAAAAACTATGAGAAATTCACTTTACTCGTAATCACAATTAAGTAAACTCATCAATTCGGAACACCAAATCCTGAACCTTCTATATTTTTTGTTTATTGGGGAGCCACTGTTTACCACTGTGCCTGTGTAGTACAACCCAATAAAGCACGCCTTAGTTTCCCTAAAATCCACCAAAAGAAACAATTTATTATTTTTTAATTTTTAACTTCCACAAACCGATCGGGGAATAGACATAGCGCTCCTTTCCCACGCAATGGCGTCACCAAACGCCGTTAGGCCTCTAAACGACGCCGTTGCTCTCAACAGCAACCAACGGCGTAACCAAAACCTCTGAAGTGTTTACCTCTCTTCCGCCCTTTCTCTCTCTCTCTCTTCCCCATTCTTGTGCAACGAACAAGCAGGAGCAGCAGCCGCCGCCTCTCACTCTCTCTATAATTCTCTCTCACTCTTTAGAAGTCTTCATTCCTTTCTCCAGCTTCGCCTCTCTGTGAGTACCTTGTAATGCAGAGCTTGCGTTTTGCGTGCTTTTTTTTTAATCAAAATTAATTTTTTATTGTTATTAATTGTTTTCCAATTTCATAATTTAGGGATTAAATTGTTGGATGTTTTTTGTCGAAATATTTTGAGTTTTGACTACGAGTTCTATATATTGGGCATGATATCGGATCCTCTGACTCATGGAGCTCCTCAATATTAACTAATTCTTAGGGCATTACTTTGTGATTTTTCCACAACTTTGGGATTTTAGACAGCCCTCAGGGGTAGCAGATTGAATTGACTTCTGGAGGTCTATATATTTCCCACACGCTGTCACTGTGCTTGTTTGTGTGTCGGTGAGCTCTGTTTTGGTGGTGGTTGGTGCCAACGGTGTTGAAAGAACAAAAGGAGTGGAAAAATATGAAATATGAATCTGTGTTTGTCTAATTTTTTAGGGTATACTGTCCAGAGGTTTATTTTACTGTCTATGTATTCGATTCGAGTACGGGTTTTGCCATGTTTTGGCTTCACTGTGTTATCCCAGCTGGAAAAAGGAAGAGATGTGAGATTCGTGAACCGTTTTCATTTGGGTAAACTTAGTTCTCATTTTTTGTGGTGTCTGTGTGGAGGTTGGTTTTAGTCTTAATTTCCGGTTGAGATGTTTTTCGTGGTTTGTGGTTTTGGGTTCGTTTATGTTTCGTGCTTTTATGCAACAGAATTAGGGTTTGTTGAACTCCCTTACTTCCTTTTGTGCTGCTTTGTTATGATACAACTGACGATGGTTTGTTTCTTTGACTGAAATTTCAGAAGAGCAACTGTTTATGGGGTCAAGGCTGCTGTGACTGTCAGTCGAGTCTGAAGTTTGAGGATGCGAGCTGTGATTGAGGGGTTACAATTGTAAGTTAGAGGTTTGTGTATTTTGAGGATGGGTTCTGCTTGTTGTGTTGCTGCTAGAGACAAGACTATAACAAACACTGCTAGTAGCGAAATTGTACATCGTAATATTCGGTACTCACCAACATGGAGCTTTCGGTGGGATAACCGAGTGGGGGTAGCAGCTGAAGAGACCTCTGTAAGTTGGTTTTCTGATGGTGTTAGCAGAAATGATGGATCGGAAGTTAAATTTGAGTCGGCATGTGTATCTGAGGAGGGAAGTCCATTAGAACATTTTCGAAGACATACACAGCGAAAATCCTCAATTTCTGAGGGAACTGCCGAGCATGTCAGGACTCCTACTTCAGGTATTTTTTAGTATGAAAACTCTTTCATTTTATTCATATTCCAATAGTTTTGCAGTGTAAGTTTGAAGAATTTTCTTCTCTCTTCTGAAGGTTTTGGTATACAATTGAAGGGTTGGATTGAAGAGCTTGCTCTCTTCTTTCTTGTTTACAAGATTATGTCTTGCTAGATTGTAATTTTGCGTTTTGCCCTCTTATATTTGTTCTTGCAAGCTGGCCATGTGTTTTGAATGTACCGTATTCGCTTTAGTGTCACATGCATATATGAGACTTTGACAAATATGCAGACAAGACTTTTGCATCCAATAAAAGTATCTAGATGGGTGAATAAGAAAAGACAATATACAACTTTATAATGTTTTTAGTTGCATGTAATTCAAAAGACAATGCGATGTAGTTACCTTGCCTATATGAGCTCATATTCCATCAAGGGCCACTCTCTGAACTGAGGTTGACTTGGATGGCTATGCGTTGCATAGTTGCATGTAATTCAAAAGACAATGCGATGTAGTTACCTTGCCTATATGAGCTCATATTCCATCAAAGGCCACACTCTGAACTGAGGTTGACTTGGATGGCTATGTGTTGCATAGTTGCATGTAATTCAAAAGACAATGCGATGCAGTTACCTTGCCTATATGAGCTCATATTCCATCAAAGGCCACGCTCTGAACTGAGGTTGACTTGGATGGCTATGCGTTGCAAATATGTACTGATGGGAAGGTGAATAGTAATTTGAAAGAAAGCCACTGATGATTTGGATTATTAGTTTTACGTACCCTTGTATGTAAATATGGATTGAGAAACGCATTGGTTTTTTCCGCTTATCTTGAGATAATCCTGGTTGTATTATTTATTAAAGCTATGTAGGTAGAAGATAACGGCTGAATAACTTGTAACATAGGTATGAAGAATAGAGGGGAATAGAAGTCTTAGGGATAAGGTGGATGCGAACTACATGATCAAAACATGGAAGGTTTATACTGCATATATCAATTAGATAGGTTAGATGAGGGACACAGTTGATTCCTGAGTTAAAGCTCTGCACATTGGGGATACATCACTTGTCCCATTTTTTTCCCGTGTCTCTTTACATGGTAGGCTGGAAAATTGTTCTGGGCCCTCTCATGCAACCAAGAGGGCTGTTCTGGTTACATGATTTTCTTACAATGATGAGATTTCACGATTGCACTATACATTCTTTAGGTGTTTTCACTTTTCCAGTAAATGGCCTTTGGGTCTAGTGGCACTTCCTTCCCCTGAAGTTAAAGGGTGAAGGATGAGTTTCACCTACAGGTGCTTCTGTTGCGCTGTTATGTTTTCCATGGGCCAGAGGTGTAGGTTAATTGATAAAATCATCTTTCGTAATCAGTTTCTATGCCTATAGTGTTTCCCATGCTTAATACAATATTGACATCTCTTTTGACATTTCTCATCAAAAGTGTCTACTCCGTCTTTTTTCTTGGTTTCCATGTCATGAAGATCTCCTTTTCCTTGGGTGGGTGTTTTGATTACTGTAACTGGCCTAAAATTGGGGTAGGTGAAGTGACAATCTTTATGCATATTGCCTTGTCTATAATGCATCTGGTGTTGGTGTCAAATCCTGTGGTTCATTGCATACTTTTAATTTAATATATTACTTAATGTTATATCTTTTAAAATCTTCATGTTATTTGTGGGAAAACTGACCCTACAGAATCATAGAGCCTATCTTGTGAAGCTCTATGGACTGGGCTATTTCTGTTTCTTGCAATTTAGCTTGAGAGCTTAAAAGGGCACATTTATCTTAATTTTCAATCGTGATGGTAAAATGAAGAGATCATGCTAAATTTGAGTTAAATGTTTTTCATTTTTCTAAATGGTTTAATAGGAAAATAGAATAGTATAGTAGCTTATCTTTTTAAATAGATGATCTTCTTAAGAGATTTCCCTTCAGTTTAATTGTGCTTTTCTATGTTAGTTGTTTGCCATGATGTGTTCTATCTGATATATATGTATGTTTCTATGGCAGATCGATCCATTTCAAGAAATATTTCCATGGATGCAACTCTTGAACAGGTAGATCTTATGCCAGGGTGGCACTTTCTGTTGTGATTTAAGCACCGGTATTCATATCTGCCCATGAATATGACATTTTACACCCTCATTTTTCATTATATGTGTAGACAAAAGAACCAGCAGAGTCCCCTACCGTTTCATATCCATCCCCGACAAAATTATCAGTTTTGCAGCCTTCTACTTCATCCTTGCCCGCATCCCCTTTGTCATCCCAGAGTCACCTGCCTCTTGCTAGCTCAACGCCAGTGAGGTGGCGCCCCTGTTCTCCAGGACATCAGCTATTAAGGCAAGTATCTGATGCCCGAGTCCCAAGAATCAAGTCACCAAACAGCTTCTCAATTTCTGAGGAAAAGGCAAAGCTTCCCTCATGGAGCAATGAATCTGCTAGGGGCTCTCGTGGTGGGTCTTCTGATAGTTGGTCTATGAATGCATTTTCCGAGCTCATGGCCACATCTAATAGAGAAAGGTGGTCTTTTGATAGTGAGTCCTTTGGCTTTAATTGTGAGAAGATAACTAGACCCAGTAGCAGAGTTTCAGCTTCACCCTCTGTTGATTTGCAGACATGTGGAGTTTGCTCAAAGCTTTTGGCTGAGAAATGTTCATGGAGCAGCCAAAAGATTATTGCAACCAATGAGCTTTCTGTGGTTTCAGTGCTAGTTTGTGGACATGTTTATCATGCCGAGTGTTTGGAGAATCTGACACCTGAAATTAACAAGTATGACCCAGCTTGTCCAGTGTGTACTTTTGGGGAGAAACAGATCCACAAGTTGTCTGAAAAAGCATTGAAAGCTGAAATGGATTTGAAGTCTAGAAACAAGAAATCGAGGAACCGGGTGTTAGATCTTGATGGCGATTCTGCTGTGTTTGATCACTTGAAAAGCACCGGAAATCAAGGAAGGGGTCCCAAGTTCGGATCCAGTTCCAGCATGAGAAGCACCTTGGGAAAGCCATTTTTGAGACGGCACTTCTCATTTGGCTCCAAGAGTGCTTCGCTATCAGATAATCATTCTACTAGAAAGAAAGGGTTCTTCTGGGCAAAATCCAGCAAGATGTGAGCTCACACTAGGATGTTTAGGAGGTGAGGACATCTGTTTCTCGTGTAATATTGCATGCATCGTTAAATCAGTGAAACAAACTAATCTGCATTTAGCATACCTACACAAGTCCTACACCTTTCTTGCACCAGGACCATAAATTTGAAAGCCTCCAAATACGGGGGCGATGTTTATCGTCTTTATTTTCTCAAGGGTTCTTATGGACTCGGTATTGTTATTTTATACAGATTTTGGTGTTGGTTCTTCTTTTGCAATCTCAGTTGGACTTGTGAAGAGCGCATTCATCAAGACATTGTAAACATCGCAGAACTGCATCTTGACATTCGACAGGGTTAGCTTTATGAAGTTAAAACTGTAAAGAAGAGAACGAATTTATATTACAGTTGTTTATAGAAAGAAAAAGAGAGCAGAATTGAAATGCTGAAAGGAAATGTGATCTGATTCTTACTGTTGTACAGATTTTCTTCTGTGTGAATTCATACTTGAATTTATCGAAATGAACTTATGCATGGCAATTGGATCCTGGATTTGCTTGAGAGGCAACAAAACTGTATGGTATGTTGTGCAATGATTTTTCTATCAATTATATACTAAATCGTTTATTGGCATGAGACTTCGTTTGTTTATTTATTATTATTATTATTATTAAAATTTAAAAAGAGATCAGCTGGTGGTTTTGTTGTGGCAATCCACCATTTCAGGGGTCGAGAAAACTAACAGATGCATTTCAGCCTCTCTGTGGCCACCATCGTGCGATTCACTAGCTCTAGGAATCGAACCCAGGAGTACATGACGTGTGGAATATTGGCCTTGGTAAATTTTGTGCTTCAAAAAACTTAATTTTTTGTTCAATTTGAAATGTGTAACATATATGAATCTTTAAAAGATACAAACTCTTAATATATAGGGAAATACCCCAAAATGGGACAATTTCTTAATTTTAGGATAGAAATAGAACAAACCGATCATGCATAAGTTATGCACAAATCTAAAATTACTAAAATACCCACATAAATACTAAAAATAAGAAGCCTGTTTGTACCATACTTGACCAATCCCGAAACTACTGAGCACTGGTCAACGTTATACCGTCAAGGACCCAGAAGAGTTTCCCTCCAACCAGGAGGCCAATCACAGCGCGACATGTGTCGACATCAAAAGCCAATCATAGCGTGACATGTTTCAACATCAGAAGCCAATCACAACATGACACGTGTCAATGTTAGAATGAAACTAGAAACTCTCTTCTATAAATAGAGATCATTCTCTCACAATATTTCCTAATGGCATTTGTACTAAATTATATACTTGTACTCACTAAAGGAGAGCTTGAACCTATGTACTTGTGTAAACCCTTCACAATTAATGAGAACTCCTCTACTCCGTGGACGTAGCCAATTTGGGTGAACCACGTACATCTTGTGTTTGCTTCCCTGTCTCTATCCATTTACATACTTATCCACACTAGTGACCGGAGCAATCTAGCGAAGAAACCAAACTTAACATTTTCTGTTGTACCAAAGTCCCTATTGATTTTGTGCATCAACATTTGGTGTCGTATGTGGGAACAACACTTATTCCCACTCTCTTCAGCTTTGTCAAGCTGGTTTCCACTATTCGTACACTCTCTTTTGACCAGGCATCCCTCTTCAACATGGGGAGCGAAGGAAGCCACAACACACAGAATGACACCCTCTTGCACCTAGTGCGAAGCAACAAAAGAAGGAAGGAAAGAAGGTTGCTATTCAAGCTAAAGTCGATGAGCTAGAAGCTCAGAACAACAAGATAGCAATGAAGAATGAGGTCTTCCAGGAGCAGTATAAGAAGCTCTTTGAGACGTTCCACGAAGCTAGGCGTACTTAAACACGCGAGCTCGTTGCCCCTGTGGACATCAACCATCATCTGGGTGCCCTCTAACATGGAGGGTCACCTTCCTTCGACATGGGTATCCCTGATGAGGAGCGAGCTAATCATCAAAACATTGATCAACATGAGACTTCTCTCAACCCAGCTGCTTCGACCTGAAGCAGAAGAAGTGGAGGAAGACACCTCTTTGCAAAAGGGTTGGAAGGATCGAAAGCCGTTTATCGTGACTGCTGAGACTTCCTAAAGCAACGTCGAGAGAATCCCATCCATATATGCTCGAAGATCAATGACCCAAGGGTTTCTGAAAGACTCGGTCCCCTCCCACGACTCAGGCTAGCTGCCAATCTAGGGAAGGAACGATAGGTCCAGAGGAACATGGAGGTACAGGGGACTCTGAGATATTCCGACAGACTTGCCCTAGAAGTCAGTACGGCGAGTCCAAGGAAAAATCACACGCCCTTGCTTAAACTTTCCTACTTCCAAGAGGCGATAAAGACTTACGAAAGAAAATCCCAGTGGTACATGACTCCATTCAGGACCCCCTTGTCCTACAGCTCCTTGAGGAAGTAAACAAGTTAAAGGTCAAACGTCAGGCCGAGATACCTAATTAGAACCAACCTAGGCCTGGCCCTCTCACAAGGAGGATCCTCGACACCCCCTTTCAAGGCAAAGACAAAACAAAAGCTTGGTTTACAACTCTATACTGGAAGGGAGGACCCAATTGAACACCTTAACCTCTTTGAGTCCACCATGGCATATCGAATGCACACCGACGAAGAGCGATGTCTTCTCTTCCCCTCCACCCTCTCTACCGGAGCTCTAAACTGGTATTGCCGTCTTCCACCTGAGACAGTAGACTCATTTGAGGAACTGAGGAAACTGTTTGTCTCTCAACATATCTTCCAGACCAATCGCTTGCATTCTGCAGATGACTTATACACTATTCGCCAGAAATCGGATGAGTCACTACAAGAGTATGCCGGTCGTTTCAGCCATGAGTATTCTCGTTGCGCTGAGGCAGATGACAAAATCTCCCTCAAGGCCTTCACGGTAGGCCTACGTGATTGTTTTTTCAAGTACATGATCAATGCCAACACTTAAAAGACTTACTCTGAGGTGATGTCACAGGCTTACAACCATTCCTCTGCCGAGGCAAGGACATATCAAGGGAAACCCCCCACAGCCACCCCTTATCATCAAGTATGGAGTGGAAGCCAGATCCAACCAAATGAGAAGACCTCGACCTTCCAAATGGCAGGACAACCCCTACCCCGAGGTATGAGGCATACACACCTTTGAATGCCACACGCGTGGCCATTTACCCTAGCATAGCACACCTGATACCGAAGCCAAAGCCGAGGCACCTGGATTACAAGCACACGAAGAACACGGACACGTTTTGCTGCTACCATGAGCATAACGGCCATGACGGCGAGAAGTGTATCACCCTTCGTGATCATATTGAAGCTTTGGCACATGAAAGAAAATTTGATCAATTCCTCCTTCACCCTCCAAGGGGTAACTGTAACCAACGCCAGGTGAATGTGATATATTCCATAAGTGGTGGCACACCTATATCTAAATCTTCCAACAGGGCCATGAAAAATAGTGAACGAGCTTTAAGGTCTGGCCACCAAGTGTTTCACGTGGAAGACATCAGGCGAGGTAAGTATCAAAAGCCTAACTGGGATCTAATATGTTTCTACCCTAAGGAAGAAAGAGGTATCATCTACCCTCACAACGACCCACTGATCGTGGAAGCTCACATAACCAACTTTGAAGTACGGCAAATCCTGGTAAACACTGGGGCTTCGGTCAATATCATGTTTGCTGAAGCTTTCAGGGCACTTAATGTAGCTTAACACTTGCTCGATCGCTCGATTTCCCATCTGATAAGCTTATCCGGTGATATCGTGCAACCTTTGGGGAGTATACACTTACCTTTCACCATTGGTACAGGCCTTTACACAGCTACCATTACCACTAACTTCTTGGTGGTTGATTACCCAACGGCATACAATGTCATCTTCAAACGCACATGCATCAATGATCACAAGGCCATGGTATCCACACATATGTTGTTGATGAAATTTCCAATCCCCTATGGCAATGGTTACATAAGAGGAGATCAACTTAGTGCACAGTCATATTACAACACTTCAGTCAAGCAACAGCACCTGCTTGTGCCCAAGGAAACCCTTTTTATACATGACCAAGTCATAAAGACCAACCCAGATAAAGCCAACTTGGATCTTCACGGTGGCAACAGTCAACCCGACAATCTTCGAGATGACTCTTTCACCCAGCAAGTACAACCCGCTGAAGAGTTGGAGAAGGTCTCTATCTCAAAAGATTATCCGGATCACATGGTGAAGATTGGCACCACCTTGTCACCACCCATTCAATTGGCATTGATCTCTTTTTTGCAAGAGAACATTGAGGTCTTCGCCTGGTCATACAAGGACATGCCAGGCATCTTTCCCGATATCATCTGTCATCGCTTCAGTATTGACCTCAAGACCAAGCCAGTGAGACAGAAGCGAAGATCTTATGACGTTGAACGGTACGAGGCAATGAAGGCAGAAGTTGAAAAACTCAAAGGTCAATTATCCAACGTGGGTAGCAAATGTTGTCCTTGTTAAGAACAATCCAACTAAGGAAAGTCTCATGCTCCAAAAGGTCTTGTGGAGCATGTGTGTCGATTACCCCAACCTAAACAAAGGATGCTCGAATGATAGCTTTCCTCTTCCTCTCATAGACAGACTTATAGACTCTACAGCAGGGTGTGAACTTCTGAGCTTCATGGATGCTTACTCAGGATACAACCAAATCCTCATAAACCCTCCGGACCAAGAACACACAGCCCTCACTACTGACAGGGGATTATATTGCTATAAAGTCATGCCATTCGGCCTAAAGAATGCAGGAGCAATTAATCAGAGACTGGTCAATTCAATGTTCGTCGAACAGATTGGGAAGAGCATGGAAGTTTACGTTGATGATATGCTAGTCAAGAGCAAACATGCTGACCAATACATCACCAACCTATCTGAAACTTTCACCATTCTGAAGAGGTATCGAATGAGGTTGAACCCCAAAAAATGTGCCTTTGGCGTAGGCTCTGGCAAATTCTTAAGCTTCATGATAAGCCAACGAGGCATTGAAGCTAATCTCGAGAATATCAAAGCAATCCTCGACATGAAGGAACCAGTAACTTCAAAAGACATCCAGAGCCTTACTGGCAAAGTGGCAGCCTTAACTAGGTTCATCTCTAAGGCCACAGACAGATGTGCTCTTTTTTTCAAAGCACTTAAGGGAAGTAAGAAGTACATTACATGGACTAATGAATATGATGAGGCATTCAAGAACCTCAAAGACTACATGAGTAAAGCCCTTCCGCTCTCCAAACTTGAGGTTGGTGACATTCTCATTATCTATCTGTCAGTATCGGCTTCAGCAGTAAGTTCCATTCTCATTCAAAAGGATGGTAATGTCAAACGGCCTGTCTACTACGCTAGCAAGGCCTTACAAGATGCAGAGACATGATACTCCAACATTGAGAAATTGGCTATAGCATTGGTCATGTCTGCTCGAAAACTTCGCCTTTACTTCCAAGCACACTCCATCATCGTGCTTATCAATCATCATCTTCGACAGATACTTCAAAGTCCTGAAACTTCCGGGCGAATGATCAAATGGGCGATAGCATTAGGTGAGTTTGATCTCCTAACAACCAAAGCCACCT